TGAAAATTAATAAAATATAATTATAGAAAAAAAAATAATTACAGGATTGTTCTACATCTGTTTCTTTACTTGAGTAACAAGCAGAGATGTAAATGTATGTTTCTCTTCAGATTTACAGAACTGATTTAATAACTATTTAAATGAAAAGACTATACAGGGATATTATAGGAAAGAAATCTTTAAAACACACAAACTACTAAAAATTCCAGCAAATATGAAGTAAAGAAAGAAAAGCATTAAAGCTTAATTTTTTAACTGTATAGTCTTTCATTGTACAAAATTTTGGAATTTATTGAAACTTTATGACAGTCATAGACAACTCAGTCAGTAAGATTCTATTTCTTACAATGGATAGTAGTTATGTTCACTCACTGCTGTCCAGCCAGAACCAACTCAAATGACCCTTCAGCAGTTTTCAGAGGCTGTAAATTGCATCCAAGGAAATGGCTCACAATTATCCCTCAGAGCATCTGGCAGATTCAAACAGGCTGCCTTTGGGTGGCAGTGCAACACCTTGTCCACGAAGCTACCAGAGTTCTGTAGTAGTGTTCATTTTATGATTTAAAACTTTTCCCTTTATTGATAAATTATATATACTGCCTTGAAACAGATGACGGAAAGAACAGTTTAAAAGGGATATATGATTAGGTATTATTGTCATGGCAGGAGTCTAGAATGAAGGCTGCATAGTGGAGTGCACTTGCTGGGGAGGGATTGTAGAACAATGAAAGAATTTGTCTTTAACTTTTCAAAGAGAAGAGCAAACTGGGGGGGAGGGGTGGCAGGGGGAAGAGTGCAACAATGAGTGAATGGAAAGCCAAAGTCTCTGTAAATTTTCATTCAAATTAGTAATAATTTAAAAAAATTTCCCTTTAGTATTATTCTTTAGCACTTACATACATTACTTTATGTACACACCTATGTTTATTTTACATATACTTACAAATTTTACACACATAAATACATGTATATTTCTGTATAAATATGTTGTTGTTGTTGAATGCGTTTGAGTCAAGCACAACTCATAGCGACCCTATGAACAAAAGGCCTGAAGCCCCTCTACGACTATCGACATTTATCAAAGTTCATAGAGTTTCTGGAGGCATGGTGTTTAGGAAGTGGAAGCCACACACACACACACTAACATCAAGTTGGTTCCAACTGAAAGTGAACCTCAGTCATGTTTCTGGGCCTCTAAATCCTTATGAAAGGAGACTACTCAGCTTTCTCACATGGAGCAGCTGGTGGATCGAAACCACTGATCTTTTGCTTAAAAGCTTGATATGGTAGTCACAACACCACCAAGGCTCCTTACGTATTTATATAAAAATTATTACCGAGCTGAAAATAAAAAATTATTACAAAATTGAAAAATTAAAACCTAACTACTCTAATTGAAATAGATTCAGAGCTAACTTCATAGTTGACTTTCCAATCGATTTCAAGGCTGTAAATCTCACAGGAAGAGAATGCCCAACTTTCTCCCACAGAACTGCTGGTGGATTTGAACCACCAGTGAGCTGAAGCTTCTGGGTTAGCCGTGAAATTCCCTAGATGATGCCATTAGAGATCATTAACTTCAATAATGATAATAATTTTATGGCTGCTATACTTTTAAGTATTGAGAAAAAATGGAATCCAACTTACATAAAATCTACTCTAATTTCTTCATTCCAGCATGGATGAGATCCACTTGCAGTATTAGTCTGGTATACGGTGTGTTGGAAACAAACTTCCACAAAAGGGCATACAGTGCCCTGAAACACATAATAAATATTGACTAAATTTTTGTAGATTACGGAGTTACTCAGGTAGTAAACAAATAGTTTACTTTTTCTACTACTTCAAATAACTCATTCATTCGATAATAGTTCATTGTTGTTGTTGTGTACTGTTGAGTTGGAATCGACCCATAGCTGACCCTCTGGGGGGGTTTCAAAGGCGGTTAATAACACGATAGGAGACTGTCCATCCTTCTCCTGTGGAGCAGCTGGTGGCCTTGAACTGCGTGCCTTCAAGATGGCAGTGCAGCTTCTTGCCTCTAGGCTACCAGAGCTCACTATCTGGAAAAATGTGGAGGCCCTTGTAGGCAAAGTACTGATCATGTTCTGGGCATGTGCAGAGAGGGGTCTTCAAGATAGAAGGAGCAATACGATACAGCTGTGCTGTGAGAGATGCGACTGCCTGCCAGGCAAAGGTCAAATCACAATTCTTGGCCATTCTGAGGAGTTTGTACCTTACATTAAAGACCATGAAAGCAGGGAATGAAATGGCTACAATAATATAAAGAAAATACTCATTTCATAATCATTAGGTTATGCAAAGTGAACTGGAAGCCCAAGAAATTATAGGTGAAGAGCCCAAGTAGAAGTCAGCTGCAGTTCAAGGCAAATATTATCAATATCGCACTTTCTGTAAGTGTTAAACACTTACCTCATTTAAGATCTCCACTGAGGCTAGTGATTTGGCTGTCCCTTTATGTCTGAGACGACATGCAGATGGCATCAAATAAGTAGGCATATCCAGAGTTCTTCAGAAAAACAACACAGAGATAAGCATTTTAATTCATTTTTGTTTCAGCTGTGATGGGAATCAGTCGCTATTTTGTGTATGTTTATTGAAATGTTGGGTGCTCTGGTGGTCTAGTTCATAGGGAGGGGTGCTTCCAATCTCGATGGCAGTTCATACCCACCAGCAGCTGCTCAGATGGGCAATCTCCTGTGCAATTTACACGCTCCGAAAGCCCACTGGTGGGTCAGCTGTGAGCTGGTTCCAATCTGATGGCAATGAGTTTTGTAGATCCCATTGAAATATTAATTAAGTTACCCCAGATTTTAAAAAGTCTGCTTTGGACATCCACATTGTAAATGGTTATAAGCAAATATTTAACAATTCCCACTTATCTCTTAGTGGGTGCATGTTTCTGAAATGCTGGAAGCTGTATTACCAGGATTTAAAATACCAGTAGGATCAAGCATGATCAGTTTCAGTGGAGTTTGAGAGTAAGGCAGACTAGGAAGCAAGTATGACCATTCATTTTTTAAATAATAGCCCAGAAATCCCTATGAATATAGCACAGAGCACTGTTTAATATAGGGCCAGAAGAGAAGAACTTTACGTTGGAAGACACTCAATATATTACTGGGTAAAAGCTAAAATCTACTTCAAGTAGTTGTTGTTGTGTGCTGTCAAGTCACAGCCTACCCATAGTGGACCCTCTCCAGAGGGTTTTCAATCACATGTGAGGGTCACTTCCCATCCCCCTCCCACAGAGCAGCTGGTGGATTTGAACTGCATGCCTTTGGGACTGCAGCACAACTTCTTACCACTAAGCCACCCTGAGAGTCTGCCTGAATGTGGATAGAGTAAAGCTTCCAGCCAATGAAGGGCCTTAACTTGCTCATGTGATACAATTAAAAATCAGGAGCAATAGTGGCAAACATGCATTAATAATTGGAGTGTGGAATGTATGCAGTATGAATCTAGGAATCCTGGCAGTTGTCAAAATTGAACTAGAATATACAAAGACTGATATCCTTGGTAGTGAGTGAACTTTTGATGTTCATCTGTATCAGATAATCATATGGACCATAATAATTAACTTTTTATTGTGATTTGAGTGAAAGTGCACTGTGATTTTACATTGAACTATTCGTACACATTATGCTTTGTGACAGTGATTACAATCCCACCTTGTAACAGAATCCTTCCCAAATCTCTGTGGCAGTGTCCATTCATCCCGCTTTCCTATCCTTTTCTGTCTTCTGTGTTTTATTTGTGGACAAATATTGTCCTCCTGATCTTGTATAGCGGGTTGTTCTAAGATTACCTTGTAGCCTGTCTATTGTTTGCCGAAAATTCAGTCATAGGTGATTTCAGTTCAAGCTTAGAGTGTCACCAAGGGCTGCAGACCTCAGGTTTCTACTAGTCTCTATCAGACAATAAGTCTGGTATATTTTATGATTTTTAGTTTTGCTCCATTTTTCTCTAAATCCATCAAGAATGCAAACACTTAAAATCTTTAAGAGGTTTTAACCTCTTAAAATAGATTTTTAACTGGAGAGAGGTGAGCAGTATTATTAGCCAGGCATCATCTAGTTCTGATCTCAGAGCCCTAGAGACAGAAGTTCATGTGGTCCATTAGCCTTCTGGACTAACAGTCTTGGGTTTTCTTCATTTTTTGCTCCAGGGAAAGAACATTAGCTCAACTTTAGACTGTCACAGTTTAAGACAGGTTTGGAAGCAGGAGTGGCATCCACTTCCTAAACCACTATGTCTATGGAAACTCCGTGAACTTGGAGAAATGATGATAATTATAGAAAGGCTTCAGGTCTTTTGTTCAGAGGGTTGTGAATTGTGATGACTCAACAGCAAATCACAAAAGCAAGATTTAGAACATTGTTTTGGGACTATGCCAATTGACTTGATGTTCCCCAAGTCTACTGACCCGAGCTTCCAGACCTAGAAATTCATTCCTTCAAGGTGTTCAGTTATGAATAATAAGTTTTTATCATTTTATTCTCAGTTTATTCTTCTATGTACCCCAGATGAGATGGATTGATACAGTAATTGGGGCAATGGGGGTTGGTGTGTCAGAATTAATGAGACTGGCTCCGGACAGGGGAGGGGTCAAAGCTGATGTACACAGGGTCGCTACACATTGCAGGCTACTCAATGGCACATAACAACAACATACTATGATAGGTTTGGAAGTAGGAGTGGCATCCACTCCCTAAATAACATGCCTCCAGAAACTCTATGTACTTTGATAAATGTCGATAGTTGTAGAGGGGCTTCAGGTCTTTGTTCACAGGGTCGCTATGAGTTGTACTTGACTTGAAAACAATCAACAACAAAAACACACATGGATCAATTATAGATCCACATAGCACACCCAGGTACATATGTACCTACCACCTGCCAAACCATGTGGTCAAGGGTGTTTGCCTACACATATCTGTTCATTTTGTCTGTCAGCATATATGTCCATTAGTACATTAATGTGTGTTAATACTGAGAATGCCAGACTGTGAAATCTTTTGATATATATGGCAATGGCTGAACTTGACTACCCAAACAAAGATTCCACTTTCACTCAGTTTATGCACACAAGGCACTCATAAAGCACAAAATTACACAAACTGGACAGTGTGGAAATTGATCATATTTAAGATAAATCTTTAGCAACTCTTAAATTGGTGTATACTACCTTACCTACTGACTGTGGTTTTCCTGGTAGGGATATTATAAGCCCTTTGGATTCTGACAAGAATCTTGATGTCTCCATGAGGGACAGTCTGTGCTGCAAGTTTTTTCCTTTCTTTTCTTTGAGGCTTTAACGTTCTTCGCCGTTCAACAAGCTTACAAATGGCATGTGTTAGCTGGCTAAAGAGTAAACAAATTATCAGCTCTGTGTACACCAGGAAACCCAGTCTGAAAAGGTATTTTTTTTATCTCTTTAATTTTTTTCTCTGTCATGGGTATACAATACAGTATGCCCATATTGATTAATTGTTGTAAATAAGGGCATTATTCGGAACCACATTTTTCCTATTATATAGGGGGTGGGGTAAAAGAAGGGATCTTTGCGAGCACAGAAAGGAGACGCTATCTATGTTCACTAATGTGGGGAGAAGACTACTGTTTACAAGGCAATGGAGAGGTACATCCATAAAAGACGATGCTCTTTAAGAAAATCCTTCGGCGGGGGGGAGGGCTGGGCAGGGAGAGAAGTGCAGCAATGAATGAATGGAAATCCAAAATCTCCGTAAATGCTCATTAAAATTATTAAAAAATAAAAAGAAAAAAAAAGAAAATCCTTCATTTTTCAGGAATTGTTCTTTTGAAAGCTACTGAGTTACTCAATTTTTCTGCCTGACTCGGAAACAGGATTTAGTAGTTTCATAAATTGTCAACTACAATAATACTCACTGGGAGAATTATAGCTTTATGGCTACACTTTCCTCCCAAGGAATGAAATAAAACACACTAGGTCTTCAGGATCCTGAGTCAACTAAATCTTATAGCTAATAATAAGAACCTGAAAGTGGTTCCCAAGGATCTGTTTCTACCCCCTAAATTTCACCAAAAGCACAATATAGGGATTGAGTTACTTCAACTACAGCTGCCTGTGGCTCTTGCCCGCCCTGTGTGGATGGAGTCACCCAGCTTAGAGAGAGGGAGAGCACGGATTTAGTGAGCGGTACAGTGTCTTTCCCTGTACTCTTGGGGTAGGACAAATCTTAGAGCAAAGCAAATTTGGGATGAGGTGTTTCTTTTTCCTTCCTTTAAACTAGTAACAAAGAGAGGTGGGAAAAGACTCCAAACACTATAGAACTGAGAATATCTGTCATGTAGATGTATCCAAAAGGCACATTTTAAATGACCAACATATTTTAAGATACTACTTCTTACTTTGTTTTCTGAAACGGCAATTTTTTTACATGCACTTTAATATTAAAAAACTAAGAAATTATTACTTTGAATGTGTAGGTATTAGCAGGAACTTTGAAGGTATTAGTTTTATTATATATTTTATATTTAAAACAGTTCTAATATGTACCTTGCAGATATAATTTCTTCATAATCTGCCACAATGTCTGATAAATTAAATCGGTTCACTTTGACCAGTTTTTTCTTTATCAACCTCCTCATCTACCAAAAAAAAAATTCCACATTTTTTTTTAAATTTAGAGAAATGCAGTTTATATTTTAAGTAAGGTTAAGTCATTGTAATGCTGTTAGTGTCACTATATTATACTCAATTTTTACAGGCAATGAATGGGAAGGGAGGTTCTCCCCACCACACAAACACCCAAAACCCCCTAAGCCTATTGCTGTTGAATTGATTCTGACCCACAGTGGTGCTTGCTACAGGACAGAGAACTGTGCCCAGTCACTGAGTCTGTCCACAGCCACACTGCCACATCTTTCTCCCACAGAGTGGCTGTGAGTGCTGATCATTTCAGTGAAAAGCTGAGTGCTTAACCGCTGCACCACCAGGACTCCTCAAAGGAGGATTAGATGAGTGAAAACATGATTCTGTCCGTGAGCATATTAAAAGAATTACCAGCTTTCCCATTCATGTTATGCCAAAGCAAGTTTACTTCTTACCATTTCTTTTGTACTTGAACACTCATTTCATCTCAACTTCCCCCTCCCATCCTTTCCCCCACCTAACCCGCTGAATGCATGAACGGAACTGGTTTTCAGTCAAGTAGATGACTGCCCTGTGAATTCATTTCTATGACAGTGATTTGCTATAGGCATACTGGTAATGGACATGAATCTTGAGCTACAAACACAGAGCAATAGATTAAGTAAATACGAGTATGTATTAAAGGTTTATCTCATTTCTCATTCATATCTGAAGTAAAGCAAGTCAGTTTTTACACAAGTAGAACTCCGAAACTAGGCTAAGTTACTCAGAAGTACACAAGAAATTCAGAACAGATCTTTGGCCATCTGCCTGGGGCTGTTCTAGCTACTCACTTGTCTCCTTACTTGCTGTGTCACTTGCTGTGGCTTTTGGAATTAAGAGGCACTTGTAAAAGGACGTTTCTAGGTGGTATAAACAGTTAAAGGGTTCAGCTGCTAAAGCCCAAGTTCACCCTGGAAGAAAGGCTTGGAAATCTCCCTTGTCAAAATCACCTACTGAAAACCCTCCAGAACACAGGCCTACTCTGGTATACACGGGACTGTCATTGGTTGGAGATAACTTGATGGAAACTGGCTTAACTGATAGTAAGTTTAAGGATTCTGACCAAGGCTAGTATGTGTCTTAAAGTGAACTTTTAGAATTAAGGAAAGAAAGCGCATTGTTGTGTACCATTAAGTTGGAACCGACCCATTGCTGACCCTCCAGGGGGTTTTCAGAGGCAGTAAATCACGCAGGAGGAGACTTCTCATCATTTACCCACAGAGCAGTTAGTGGATCCCCACTAATGTGCCTTTGTGTTGGCAGCACAGTTCCTTATCTCTAAGCTACCAGGGTTCCCCAAGCAACTCTTTAATATGCAAATTCAAAATTTTAAAAAAGTTTGCATGTGCTTTAATAATGAAATGATGCATTTGCTGACAATTGTAATGATCTTTGCATCAGCAATGTAGATTCACAATTTAAGATGTTAGGTAACTAACTCTGAACAGAAGCCTAAGGAGGCTAGAAAATTCCTAGTGATCAGACAGACTCGACGAGTCAGTGAATTTATGCATCTGAGCCTTGGGAAAGAGCATAATATCACGCACCCTGCAGAATTATTTTTAGAACTGTATAGAAAAGCACAGTGATGCTACTTAGTTGTTACCTTTTCCAGGTAATTGATAGAACTGATCCTTTGTGCAGTAATTGAATTCACATCTGAAGTGGATATATCCTTCTCTATCTGACTCTCACATTCCTAAACAGAGAATTAAGTTAGTCTCCACTTTGAGTGTAGCAGAGTTCAGGCATCCCATGTAGCAATAACACATCAACTCTGCATTTCTGTTCTTTGTAGGAGGGCATTCACAATACTGTGGCAGCGAGAGACAAAACCATTCTTTCCAGATTACCATTCCACTGAGAATTAGGTAAAAATTACTTACCACATGTTTCGTTTGCTTCTCAGATGCGGTTCTAACTGTTCCCTCTTTGAAGAAACGGTGATGTGTTTAAGTAAATAATGATAAAATGGGGAGAGGAGAACCCCTTTATGGATAGCTTTACCTAGTTTATTAGTTCTCAGGCACTGCTATAACAGAATTTATCCTTTCACAATTTAGGAGGCCACAAAGAGTGGTTAATAGATATTCTAATTTAATCAGTTCAGTGGTCTAAAATAAATCCTACTAAATTTTGAAATATACATATAAATTATATACATAAGAGAACAAACAGGTCCATCCTTGAGAGGGTGAAACCAGACTGCTTTTGGGAGGCAAAGATTATCAAGTGCTATCTGACATACATAGAGCATACTGGAAGGAGGGACCAGTCCTTGGAGAGGGACATCATGCTCGGGAGGGTTGAGGGACAGCGTAAGAGAGGAAGACCCTGGATGAGATAGATTGACAAAGTAATTGGGGTAATGGAAGTAGGTGTGTCAGAGATGATGAAATTGGCTCACGATAAAACAGGGTTCAGAGTCACTATGAGTTACAGTCGACTCAACAGCACATAACAACACATAACAACAACAGCAGCAAAAATTACTATTAAATATGCTAACACTTTATTAGTATTTTATGCTTATAACAATAATAGAAATTTACATAAATGCTTTCCCTGTACCCTTGAGTAATTTTGGTACATAGGTCATGACAGCCTCAGATAATAAGCTGAGTTTCTTTCTCCTGTTTTCTGGTCTCTAAACAGTTTGTTTATTATAAAAGTTGGCACAGTGCTTGGATTGCCAGCGCGTGGACAGTTACTGTTTTATGATGTTGCATCCTATTCTTTTTGCCTGTAGAACTGAATTCCATTCTCAGGTGTAGCAACAGGAGGAAAGAGAGTAACTTTCAAGCTGTTCTAAGTCAGCTCTTCACATTGCAGTTTACTAGCTGAAGCTCCTTAAGTCTCAAAAAAGATTAACCACAAGTAAAGTGGAAAAATCCTGATCTGTCAATAATCATTTGTGAATACACACATTTCTACTCACTAACATTAGTGAAAATAAAGAGGTACGTGTAAATACTGTTCTTGTAAACATAATAGTTGTCAGGGCTTTGAATCAATTCAAATCAAATCTGTCATAGCCAACAGAGTAAAACTGCAAAGACCTGAGTTTTAAAAATTTACAGCACAATAACTCAAAGAGGAAAACAGAGCTCTGGAGTGGGAGACTTGTAAGAAGTGTGAGCCCTTTTAGGAACTTTACACAGAGATTGAATGACCTGGTATTACTGTGGAGAGAAATATGAGTGCTGCGTGACTGGCCACCATCTTTGAATTGGCTCCACTGTTTGTGTATGTTGAGAGATCTGGTTGCTATGCAAAAAGGCGTGCTGTCTGTTTTCTAAGAGAGAGGTTACAGTTCTAGTAGGGTGTCAACCCCTAATTTTTCCTGCTCAAGTTATTGCTCTAGTTGACCCACATGGTACAGACAGCCTTTTTAACAAATAGTGTTCGTAAAATTGGAAACTATCTGCAGAAAACCACATGTCACACCATACACAAAACCCACTGAAAGTGGATCAAGGACATAGGAATAAAACCAAGGCTATAAACTTCATTAGAGAAAAACTTGGAAGAACTCTAGAAGCCCTAAACCACAACAAGAACAATACTCCAAGTATCCTAAAAAACCTATAGCTAAAAAAAACAACAAAAACCCTACAACTAGGAAAAACTGACTATTGACTCTCTAACCCAACATCTCCAACAAATTGAAAAAGAACAGCAAGAAAACCCGACACCCTCTAAAAA